ACTCACAACCGTAAGGTCGTGGGTTCGAATCCCGTCAAGGGCCCGACGTTGTGTCCTTGGGAAAGGCACTTTACACGAATCTCCTCACTTCACCCAGGTGGTAATGGGTACCCGGCTATAGACAGCGAAAGATCTTGTCAGTTTGTTAGTGTTCGAGCGCTTAATCGGCTGCTTGCACTGTATGCTTCCCGGGAAGCTGAGAATGTTTCGGAGTGTTCTATGGTCTTGGGGTAATAATATAGTGTAAAGCGCACAGAGCCTGCTGTTGAGCGGGGATATGCGCTATACAAATGCTATCTATTATTATTATTATCATTATTATTATATCTGAATCACAATATAGTCAGTGTATAAGACAAAATCACAGCTATAATATTGTTTAATTGCGGGCACACTTCCTTATCAAAGCAGGTGCCCCTCCCCCCTTCCCCCCTGAATAGGACGCATTTATGATGATGATGATGATGATGGTGATGATGATGATGCTGATGCTGATGATGATGATGATGATGATGATGATGATGATGGTGATGATGATGATGCTGATGATGATGATGATGATGCTGATGATGATGATGATGATGTTGATGCTGATGATGATGATGATGATGATGATGATGATGATGATGATGATGATGATGATGATGATGATGATTTTCTCCATCCTTTTTATTTATTGTTATTATTTTCATGAACATTATACAACCTCTTCTACACCAAAATTGGACTCGTTGTTAATGCGATACTGAAATGTTTTTCATCATGTTGGTATCAACATAGAATTATCTGGAGGGAGCAGCTTTTCTGGAGAGTTTGGTCGAGTTGAAAGTAGACCAAAGCCATACGATTTTGGCGCTCTGTTTTTGATTTATGAACCCAATACAGTCAGTAGAAAGGCCAGACACAAAGCTGGTCTTACGGTATAGAAAATACAGATAGCAATGTGACCATGCACCCCCATATTTACGTACACACACTCACACACACACATAGACACACACACACACACACAAAAACAAACAAGCACATACACACATACACACATTCATAAACACACACACACACACATTCACAGACATACACAAAGCAATAGACATGCACACAGACACTGACACATACACACACAGCTTCAGACACGCACGCACAAACACACAGATACACACACGCTCACGCACACATACACAAACAGACACGCACAAACACGCGCGCACACACACATAGACACCTTTGCAGATACGCACACACACAAACAAACGAACACAAACACGAACACACACAAACACATCCACATATACACGCAAACCCTGACATGTACACACTCGCATACGAAAAAAACAAAATTCATACAAACACACTCCTTTCAATTCACCTCGTTGTTCACCATTAAGTAAATTGACCGCTCGTCCTTCCAGTATGTTCGCTCATCGCCTACAATGTCTGGACCGAATAAGCCACGACTGTGACGCTGTAAGGGCCCAGTTTAACGAGTTCAGAGCAACGGTGACGAGCGACTTCCAAGGAATCTGTGGTGAGTAGTTAGGTAATAACAGCAACGACAACACCATTTTTGATAGTAATAATACTGATTGTGATACTACTACTACTACTACTACTACTACTACTACTACTACTACTACTACTACTA